AGACCTGACTGTGTAAAATGGCCTGAGATGACTTTAGTTGTGATTTGACGCTACACAAATAAAACTGAATTGAACTGAATTTGTGCTGGGCTCTTCATTCTCACTTGGATCCAACCTGAATATTGAAACACTTGGTTTTAAAGCTCCAGGTAGTTGTTCTCAGTTTCTGAGCAACGTTCCCACAGCAGGGGGGGGGTTCAGTGTCATACTGAAGATACGTGGGCTAGAAAACACTTCATACAGAAACCTGCGCATGAACCACAGTGACTCACGGAGGTAACTGTTACATAATTCAGTATTTAAGATAACTTTGTCCTTATTATTAAAGAAACTGAGCAAAGGTGAAACCTCATGATCAGACAGTTTCAGCCTTATAAAGCTTCTGATAACAGCTCCACATTTTTATGACTAACTCAAGTGTTCTTTACATACACACCCCACCCCACCTCCATACACACACACACAGAGGTTTGTGTGTGCTCTTTGTGTTTTATTTATGTTCACTTCTGGCATTTTTATTATGACACTGTTCTGCAGTTGTGATGGATGACTGGCAGACGTCCATTCATCTCTGATAAACGGACGTCTGCCAGCCAATCAGAACCAGGGATTCTCAGTGGACCTGGTGAAATCCACAGTCCTGTGCAGAAAGCAGCTTTTCAGAGCACAGCTGAGGAGAAGGCAGTGCTTCAGCTGTCTGCGAGATTCAAATCAAGTGGGTGTCAAGTGGATCTTTTCTAGCTCAAAATGTCCTCGTTGTGCTTTCCCAGACGACGTTTTCTTACTGAGCCACAGTGGCAGGATTATAGCACTAAGAGGTAATCAACACTGTTTTTATAAACCAATGAACAAACATCTGTGCACATTCAAGATCCTTTTTTATATTTCAGCTTAAAGCATCAAAATTCACAGAGCGTCAAGACCTGAATTTTCAAAGAAACTGTATTAAAGGTATAATAATAGTTAGTGACTGACTGACGCAGGTCTTGCTGGATGTCTTTCATCCCGATGACTCTGAGTCGAAGGCAGAGCTTCCAGTAATGAATCAACCCGGTAAAATCAGGAGGCTAATCTCAGAGCAGTTGTTCATTATTCATTGTGTGCGATGCAGCTCCAGCTGACGTCATCACTACAGCCTGTTTCTCTGCTGCTCAGCTGAGCGACGCACTGCTTCTCATTCACCGAGCCCCCCAGTAATATGGGGAAAACTGCATGAAACGTGGCCTGGCACCAGCTGGAACTGTATCTTCAGAAAAGTTCAAGGTGTCCTTCACTTATTCTGGAGCTTTCAAATGCGGCAGCCTCACCTTTTAAAGCCAACGTGCATGAGATGCTCAGGAACAGCCTTCTGACAACTGGGTGAAACCCACCTTCTGATCCAGGGCCAGCCAGGTCATGTACTTGAGTTTAGCTGATTTTGTCATTTATCTACAGTGTTTTAGAGAACCAACCTGTGTACATCCTTCATGTTGACCTTTGTTTCCGTTCTTGATTCCTTCCTCCTTTCCTCAACTGAAGAATCCCAGAAACTGGAGATACATGATTTTCACCCAAGTGGAAAACCAACAGTTCTCTTCACAATAAATGCTTCCACTTTTCATTCCTGAGTACTATCATATTGTAATTTATTTTGAAGTAGTTTGCAGATTTTGTTCATTTCACAACAGTAAATACAAGGAGTCCTTCTTCCACTGCTGGCTGTGCTGCAGGTCTGTGCAGATGATTTATAGTCAGATTATCTGATAAAAGAACTGTGAGTAACGGAAGACAAACAGAAAGAGGAGAAGTGATGTCCGCCTCCTGGCAGGTCAGAATAATAATGAGCCAAAAACCTTCCCTGTCTTCCTCCATGATTCAGAGTAAGATATGTTCCAGCTCTGCAGCCAGCTGTGGGCCGCGGCCTGTGCAGGACTGTAGCACTGACACACAGTCAGGTGACAGCTCAAGGAAAGGGCACTGTCGTCCACGCTGCACATACTCACCATTGTCATGCTCTGTGCACGTGAACAGAGGGTGAGCTCTTCCTCACTTCCTGTCATCTCATCACTGAAACCTCAAATTACAGCACTGTGGAACCGATGAGCTGTTGTGCGCGACCCTGCAGAGGGGTTCGGCGGCTGACACCCTGAAATGAGCAGGTTCGAGGGAAAACAGCTTCATTTCTCAGGAGACTGTGACATGTTGATGGCCGACGAGCAGCGCAGACTGGTGCACGTCAGATCATGTATGCAGGCTTTAATGTCCCTGGGGGAAGTAATTGAAGGGTTTCACTCTGAGTGGGTGTGTATCACATGTAAATCAGCACAGTGAGGCTTCATATGTGACAAACTGGAGAATGACAGAGCCATCAGGTCTGGTGATGTGTGCTCGTAAAAAGAGAGTTTATTC